AAAAAAAATGCGTATTCCTTTCAATACGCATACACATTCAGGTACTTCTCAGTCAGACTAGCATCTGTTTGAACAATTATTTGCCGCTGATCTACATTTGTTTGTCCACTTTGACGAACGTTTTCGTGTCAATAATGAAGATATTGTAGTTCGTCACTATTTTGAGGCGTTATACTATTTTTTCAAGTCACTCTCTGACGCGCCTGATGCGGCGGGAATGCTTTTGAGACAAGCATTTAATCCACCGCAAGTAAACTAGAGCTTAATGAATTTCGGGTTTCTACGGAAACGTAGCCTGCTCGAGTTTTCAAATAAGAATTGAGATTCACCTGGTTAACGTCAGAGACTTCCTCAAGAAAATGCAATTTTTGAATGTTCCTACTGAAGAGATGACTTACTATAATGAGATTAATATTCAATCAGCAGACACTTTTAGCTGACCTGATCGAAGGAAATGCCTCGAACATCCTCATTAAGTGTGTGTTCTCTCTGTGGTCAGTAAGACAGTACCTAACACACAGAGACAAATATCGAAATTTAAATAACAGATTATGACCAGTGTTAACCAAACGTAAACAGATATTTCTCAGTCGAGCCAATACTTTTAGGAAACACTTATTAAAAGCATCATGACCATCGATACAAGAATCGATCAAGAATTCTGATGAATTTGATTTCCTAAGAACTCTTTCATAATTTCCGTCGTTTAGTTTTTAATTAACAAGAGTGAAATCACGCAAAAGAAGAGATTTACTTTAAAGCCAAATTAATTACCGCAGCTTAATCAACAATTTAACTCGTAATTAAAAAACATCAAAGGAAATTAAATTCCGGTCATCAAAACTGTCTATTAATGTGATCGACGTTGTTCAATAGGAAAAATCGTAATTAGAATTTCTATATATTTACCATTTTGAGCATTTAAAGTCGAGTTAATGAGAAGTACCTTTCCACAATTGTATCTGAATTGAGGGGCAAGATGAGCGCTTGGAAGCTGCCTTTTACCATCGTCCTGATGGTTTCCAGTGTAACAGTTTATAACACATTTGCCGGACGCATCCCTAAGGAGGTCTGTAAACAAGTTTTTTGTTCTCTTACTCCTTATTTTGTCAGCCAAGAATCAAGCAAAGGACAAGACATGTCCTTTCGCGGCAATTAAGATAAAGATTAAAAACAGCAACTTCGGCGTGCATTAGGAATCAATGAAACCAGTGATGTAAAGCATATTCGCCCTACACTCTGTTGTAGTTTTAAATAGTTAACTGATCAGTTCCTCTTTGTCTGGCAAAGAAACGTCTAGAGAATCAAGCAAAAAAGAAACTATATGAATGGAGCTTTCCGCTCAGTTAATATAAATAAATAACCTAAAGTTCTGTGATTCGATCACTTTTACGGGCTTTGCTCAAGTAATATTGGTTAAGTTTCTTAATATTGCAACAAGTTACAGGAGAACTATGCATGAAAACACAATACCGCCAAAAGTAATGTGTCCTAACGTTACAAAAAAAGAAAAAAAAAAGAGTCAAAAAAATTGGCAGGAATTTTTTCTTTCGTGCGAGGCATCCAGGAGTGTTTAAGATCCTTCCTGATTGTTTAATTTTAACTGTTTCTTTTTAATAACGTATGTTTTTGTACTGAAGGTATCTTTTAACATTATTGGGAGTTACTCCTGAAAGGAAATTTGCTTTCTGGGACAGGTTTGCTAAGGAATTTCCTTAAATTACAGAGCTGCTCTCATTACTTTCTCCGCTGGACAAAGTTTTTTGATAACTCTTTGACAACTTCTTGATATATTTTTTCACACCTCTCTGTCGACGTCTGTTTTAAACATTCAAAAGATTTGGAGCTGTGGCGGAGTTAGCAAGAAACTTGTCAAATATCACAGTTCTTTCTGTACGTTCACCAACGGAATAGCAGGGATAGCGCAGTGGTTTGAGCTCTCACCCCGGAAGGGAATCCCATATAAAAAGGACGGGGGAGCTCGTCGTACCTTTTAGGGCTAGAAAAATCGCTTTTGCTACCCCTTAGGGTGTTCAGCCTCGAAAGGTCCACAGCGGAAGCTTTTGCGGTACTTTTTAGGGTACTGAGCGAAAAAACAAACAGGAGATGATGTTTCCGTTAAGAATTGGTAGCTCTTGGGGAGGAACATTTCAAGCCACCCCCAGAAAGCAGGATCTTGGTACCTCTTAGGCGTTCTTTTCAAAATTTCCGACGAGTACCCCTGTCCTTTTTATGTAGGAGTCTCCCCCCGGCACTCACCTCCCACCAATGGACGTGGCTCGGGTTCTATTCCGGTCCGGTGCCATATGTGGGTGGGGTTTGTCGTGGGTTCTCGCCTTGCTCCGAGGGTTTTCTCCGGTTTTCCAAGCAGCATCTCCAAATTCCAATTCGACCAGATAGACTAAGAATAGTGGAGCATGAAAACCAGCTAAGACTGATTTTAGTTTCCTCTCTAAATATTGTAATTTTATTCAATTTTAAGTCATCACGTTGTTGTCTAAAAGGTGGCAAAAAGTTGTCTATTCTGTAGGCTGTTATACACTGTTGCAGCGTATGCATACTTTAACAATATTATTTATATATGTTTTCTTTCTTGCTTTAGATCAGGGACAAGAGATCACAAGGTGGGTAACAATACTCAAATGAAATTGAAGTTGTTTTACTTATAAAAAAATACATTATTTCGGTCTGGAGATACATTCAGTGCGGTATTGCTGGCCATTTTTACACAACGGGTACTGGCAAAAAGCTGCTGCGTCGCTGAAGGCTTGATAGATAGATAGCTTTATTAAGTAAAATCATCGCAGGCCCCGAAGCGGCTAATATAATATGTGTAGAGTTTGGATGTTCATTATCAGTCATCAATCATTATTGTCATTGGAAAGATCTATCTTTCACCCTATCTCAAGTTCAGTAAGATGCAAGACCCGCTGGGAATCCCAAAACTAAACTATTTTTGGATAATGTCAGTCTTTCTACATCTTAAAAATTAGATTAAATTCGAACCCATCTGTAAAAATCCCTGAAATCTTTGTGCTTGGCCCCAGAAAACTTACAGTAGTGCTGACCTTATATGCCCCTTTTTCATTGAAACTGATTTATTTCTTGAATCGGCAGTAATGAATTGTCAAGAGACGGTGCTTTCACGCAATCCATGTGAAAAGGTAACATGCCCAAATGGACATAAAGGAAGACACGAAATGCTATTTTATGAATGTCCTGGAATTCCAGAGCTTTGCCCGCTGAGTGTCAAGAACAACAGTGCAACGTGCTGCCCTGAAAAATGCGGTAAGGAACATAAGCAGAACAAACGAACAAACAAAGAAACATGCACACGTATGAACCAATCCACCGATCGACCAACCTAGCAAATGACAAACCATACTCTTCCTCCGAGGCCACGATCCTTTTGGTCAGCAACAGGCATTGCGACCTCTGACCAGAGTGAATCTTTCAAGCATGCGTAGAGTGCTCATTTAGTATTTTCAGCCAAATCAGATCTGGCGGGAAGTCCGAGAATTGACGACATCGCTGACCGAATAGATCGCGGTCTCTGCGGGACGAGAGTGACAACCAAAAACAAGCACACAAGTAAATTAGAAAATACTACAAGAGCAAGTTAACCGAGATTCAAGTTCGTTCTCTTCCGTTCATTCATTCGTTCTTTTGTTCGTTCGCTCTTCCATTCGTTCCCTCATTCCTTCGCCGTGACATCGCTATTGGAGACAGAAATGTTTATAGAATGTTACATCCTCTTTACAGTTTGTAGCAATGGCGAAGAAATGTTTCGACCTGGAGATAAATTTATGGCTGAAAAGGATGGCAAACATTTGGAATGCAAGTGTGGAATGGACGAAGTGCCAAACTGTCAAGAAGTCCTTATTGGTGAGTACTAGGATTCTTAACGTCATGTTCACAACTTTCAAACAAAATTAACCTCGATAAACGTTAAAAGAAATTGACCGATTGGAGAGTTAGTGCTGGCCGGATATTAATATTTTGCTCTTGGTCATTTCCCCGTGCATGGTCTATATGCCATGTCGACCTGAAAAATTCTTGTCTGGGCCTCCCACTGGGTCAATACAAGAGATAATCTCTTGGTCAATAAGCTAAGAATACCGTTTCTTGAACCCTCTACCTATTTAACAGAGCAAAGCAAATGCTTCAAACTGATTGTCAAAGCTGTCGCACACTATCAGCCATGCATTAGTGCGCAGTGACTGTAGGCCATCCACATAATGGCGAAAATAATTGTCTCCGCGTTTTTCCGATATTTAAAAGGAATAGTTAGAAACATTACAAGCCGAGTCAATTTCCAAACGGCCGTATTTTAGGGGAAGGAACTTGACCGTTACGCGGCTTTAATGATTTGATGAACGCGTGTAAACAGCAACAAGTTTTAAACAACACTTCAATCCAGGCGTGATTTCGAAAAAACGTGAAGTTTAATACTACCTAATACCTAAAATTGGAAATCATTATTTGAATGAGATTTAGTCAGAATTCTACTGAAAGAATTCAAATATATGCTTTCGAATTCTGATGAGGTAACGACTATCGATAGAAGAAATCCCGAGCTCGTAATCTTATTGTTAAATATAAATCTTAGTAAACCATTTTCGTATTCTCACGGTGTTGGACTGGAACTAGTTTGCAACTGAGGCTAATGCAGGGAGTTTTTTCAAATGCAAACGATACTCTCTTTGAATGACATTCCACAACAATGAGTCTCCAGCAGAAACTTGTTCCATTCCAATACAGTGAATGCGAAAATGACTTATTTACATCTTATTATTTTTTTTGCACTTTAGACTCATCACGAACAGCTTACAATAGATCAATTTTAATGATATTTCATTCACCAGTTGTTTCGTAATTGTTTGATTATTTCTTAGTTCCTCCAAAGGAGCCACCCAGGCCCCCACCAATGTTTCCTCCACCCGGAATGTTTCCGCCGCAAAGAGACACTGTAAGTAACAGCCTGGAAACGTAGTTGCAAAAATCTAAAAAAAAAGGGATTGAGATCTGCTTCAAATATACCACTAGCAGTATATTTGCTATGGAAACGCGACACCATGACTAGCTGATAATTGTTACACCCTTTCTTCTATATTCGTCTTTTGCTGACTACTTTAGGCTGAAAATATAGCTATGTACATTCTTAGATTTCAGAG